GTTGAGTAAGTAGAGAATAAACTTGGAATTTTGATTGTTACTGGAGAGCTTATATTTCTATTTTTTACTTTGAAAAAGCACACGCATTAGTATACTACAAGAAATAAAGATAACATAGTCACCCAAGACTCGTCTTTCAAAAACTTCACTTTTACGTTTATAGGTATAAAATTTTTCAACAGATTGCCGCTTTAAATAAGAAAGTGAGTAAGAAAGATTAAATAATCAAAAGTTTTTATAATATGACTAATGGATGTCAAGTTTTTGAAATCGAATAGAAACGTGATAAATTATTTAATGTACCTATTGTGATTTGATTATGTATTAAGAATGTTTGTATTAATGTGTCTTCTAGTATGATTATTTTTTTTTTTTTTTGTGTTTTAACCATATATTTTATTCGGACCTAATTTATTTGCTGACTCTAACCTGGATGATTTTGTATTAATTTGTAAACTGACGTATCTGTGCAGTGTATTGCCTATAGACGAATAAATGAGTATGAGTAGTATGAGTATGAGTAAATTTTATTTAGTCCAAATCCAGGCAAATAACAGAAAATATAAGATACGTTTTTTTGCTACATAATAACAAAAAATTGCTTAGATAACAAGCATTAAATTGAGGAGTGGGGGCTTGGAACGTCACAACTTTAAAGAAAATGTACAATAGTCACGATGACATTGACGTCATATGACATATTAGCCAATGTAAAAAATATACGTGATAGAGTTATTTAGATACGTCAATTAGTTTGAAATTTGAAAGTGAGCGCGCAACACGGAATTCCACTCGATGCGTGTGACGTCACAGTTCACTTGTCGCATCGTTCTTAGATCGTTCGTAGTGTTCCGTTTTCTGTAAATAACTAAATATTTGCTAAAACATTAGCCAAATAAATTATAAGCTCGTGCATTGATATAATAAATCCACAATTTCTTTTCTTTCATTTTGTCACATTACCCTTCTCATATTTGGTATTGACGTGGATATGTCTATGTTTTCGTTCTACAGGGGGTCATTCTGTGAGCAGGAGCTTATGCACTAACGCCATCTATTGGCGTATAAGTGAACTATGCTTGCTCTGCAGGGGGATGGGCATTCTGTCAGCAGGAGTATATGCACTAACGCCATCTATTGGCGCTAGTGAATACTTTTTCATTCAACAAATGAACGCAACGAATATTTATTTATTTAGTGTTGAGTGTCATCAATTTGTTTATTTATTTATTTTTTATCAATTAGTCATATATCCATTCATACATAGACGTATCCACGCATAAAAAAATATGGCTGTATCAATGATACAGCCAACCAGTTTTTTTTTTAAATGTCGTTATACAAATTATAAGCGAGGAGTACATTTTTGTTATTACAGTACTGTATATTGATGTTTTATTTTTTTTAATTCGAAATGTTCTTTAACCCTACAGTGCACGATTTTTTTTATTTGAACAGAAAAATAATATGAACTTTTAAATGTTACCTATGTTTATAGAAAAATAATTAAAAAAATCTATTTTCAATATTTTCGGATTTTTTTGAATATTTCAGTATGTACCAGATATGTCACAAAATATGTTTAGGGTGTATAAAGTTTTATATGTATATAACTTATTCTTAGCAAGAATAAAATAAAACAGCAATATTAATTCTGTTATATTTTAGTTAAAAATTAAACTATAATTTTGTCAACTTATAGTAAGCATAGACACTATAATATATTAGAAAATAGGGAGAAATTGAGATCAGTAATCAATATGTGTAGTCTTTTCCTCTTTAATTAAATTTTACTCTTTATTTATGGAATTTACATATGAAATGACATAAAACAAATTTTATCTTTATTTGGGTACAGCGCCACCTTACATTTTTCGCAGTTTACAAATGATTTCCCCTTACAACCAGGGAACTTACAGCGTTGCCTAGAAGTTAACCATAATGGGAAGTGGTCGATGCCATCAGTCCTGGCGTCTTTGGGTGGTACGACAGCTTTTGGCTTTGTTTTCATCCTTTCTTCCAGCATATCAAATCCGGAGATATTTAGTAATATAATAAAAAAACTTTGTGGTTTTATTCTTTTGGAACTGTTCGATAGTGGCGCACTATTATATTACTATTCGCGCCTAAATCAGGTTCATTAGTCGGTCTCAGGTCAGGATCATTTTCAGTGCCAGAATATATTTCGAAAGATTATTCTGAGTGACAACAAATGGTTTCGATGTATCTTTCTGAATACTATATTTTGTAGACTCCTCGACGATATGGTTTAGTAAATTCTCATCAAAAAATACGTAAAATATTGTAACGGCATATCAAAACTCGAAAAAGGTTCATCTAACATGTCCTCAACTATGAATGGTGGAGGTGGTGACTAGAAAGCTGTCTTTCGCCAGATGTATCTACTTTTTTTAGTAGTGTTCAAAGTAAGTTGAGCAGAAGGTTGACCTGAAGATGTACTTGCTCTCAGACACTCCACTGGCGATCTAATTGAATCTGCAGCTGAAGTTGATGCATTGACATTATCAGAAACGCTAGTTACTGTAATGTTCAATGTGTTTCTCACCTGTGACAAAGATTTATTGAGGGTTTGGTCAATGTAGTTATACTCAAGTAATTACGGCGTTTTTTCCATTTCATTCATGACTCAATCTCATAATCTTATAAGATCATCATCACTATCTTCATCAGATATCTCTAGTTCATCTTCACTGCCCGATGACATACGTAAAATATGCTCAGTTTCGGTTTCTGTTACTCTTTTGCAGGGCTTCATCTGAAATCAATCAAGTATCATATAATAACCCTTATTGCACAGTGACCCATATCAGTCACATACAAATAAAATCCAAAATATGCATAGATAGTAACTGATATCATAAAGTACTTATTTACCAATAAACTATAAACAATAACTTACCTCTTTATATTTTTTCGAACGAAAACACTCTAATTTGGCTTTTTTTTTCAATGGTAAAACTTTACGTTTTCAACTTTTTTCAAAGTGACCGCTAATTTGACTGCAGAATAGTTTTCTAAGTGCAGCGCAGCCCTATGAACGAATGTGAACTATATTTTTATGCACTATAGTGTGTAGTTACGCTACTTTCTATTAGATGGCGTGAAAAAGCGTCGTGTTACGAAATACAAGGAATAAATCGGTATGTACCATATGTGTCACACTATGCGCTGGAGGGGTTAATTTGCGACACTTTGACGTCTCATTCTCTTCAGGGCTATGGCAGAATAACAGTGATCAGTGTCGTATACTGAGCCTCGGCCCCTTTGCATTGCTGCAACACACAGCCAACATATTTCTTATTCTTTTCTGTTACTTTGAGATTTTTTTTGGTTTGTTTTAGTTTATTTAATCTTAATCAAAGGTTTTTTTATGGAATATAAAAAAAAAAATTTTTTCGATGAAAATAAGTAGCAAATTAGCCATTAGCATGAAACAATTAGAGCCGCACGTGACGCTGCCAATTCGTTCGGAAGTTGATCTATACTAATATTATAAATAGAACATATTTGTTTGTTTGTTTTCATCGTAAAGACTCCGAAACTACTGGAACGATTTTAAATATACCTTTGTTTTGAATATTGACTTAGAATATTGGGATTGACATACGGCCGGTTTCTGAATTGAGAAAAGTACGAAATCTCAACTGATTATTATCAATAACTTAAGTTTTATACTTTTTACTGATTATTAAAAAACTAAAATTAGAAACGAAAACCTGTCTAAAAGACGTATAAGTACAGTTTGAGACGTGATTAACTTTAAATGTTCAGAAACTGGGTGATATTATAATGTACCTACTCGTGCGAAGTTGCGGGAAAACAGCTAGTACAAAAAAAATACAATTTGTGTTGTCACTTAAAATTTAATACTAGTATTTATTTACAACCATTAGAAAAAAAGCGCCGTAAAATCGTGAGGGATGTTCAAACAATTTTATTATTATTATCTTAGAAAAATACTTGCTAATTTTTTTTTATTACTAAAACCGCCACCTAAATTGTTAGGTACAATTTAGATGGTGGTTTTTGTATAGAAATAACCTAAACAGAGTAACAAAATTCTTTAAACGTAATAAGACGAAATTATCAGTTTAATCGACAAATAACCGATTCGCGAAATTACTACACAGTCTACATAAATGAAATAATTCTTAAAATGTACAATTATCTAGACTGATTCTACTAATGGACGATTCTATAAACGTCTGATTCTACAAATTACTGATATTTATTAACTAAAATTTACCCCTTCATGCACCATTTTGATTAATAATACAGTTAATGTTTAAGTTTGCATTATAAATAATGCGGTATTGGATAATGCCCTATAAATAAGAGGACACAAAAATCACCATAATATACAATAATAAGTCTGGTATAAGCATATATTAAGTTTTTTCATTACCATGAAACCAATTTGAAATAAATGATAATCATATCTTCACATCATTTATTTCTAAATTTGAATGATCTAACTTTGTGCAGTGGAACGTTGTTCTTTTATACAATGGAGATGGGAGTGGCTGCAACGCGGTTTTTAAACTAAAGCGGCTGCTTTCATACACGATGTTACATGTAAAGTTCCAATAAAAATATTATTATTATTGTTTTTTATTCGCAATAATCTTAAACATGGCATGTAATAAAGAAGTAGTTTATGGCGGGTCACCCACAAATTACGTCACAATTTAAAAGTAAAATTGAGTAAAAAACAATCAGTCATATGTAGAATCAGTAAATTACAGATTCGGTTCATTTGTAGAATTGGCCATTAGTTGCATTAGTTCATAGATTGTACATTTCACGAATTGGTTACTTCTATGTAGTCATGTAGTCAAGATTATGTAGTCATTTCGCGAACCGGTCATTGGTGACTAAACCATATTATCACCATAGCTTGGTTGTGCTCCTAACGAAGGGAGTTCACCTGCCAGTTGCGGTAGAGTTAAATATTTAAGTTAGTACTTGGAATTGATATAACAAGTATTTTTCTAAAACAAATCAATGAGATAGCCATTCCGTTGCACTAACCAGACCATATTTAGTTTTAATCCTGTCAAACATTTCAATTCTATAAATAATTAAGATAACAGAAGTAAACTTATAATATAATAGTGTTGAGGAGTAAAGTATACATATTTAATAATTCCTTAAAATTTTATTTAACTACTGAATATGCTAAAGTAAACACAAATTAAGACTAGTTTTTGTGGTACAACAGACTTGGCACCGCTAACTGTATAATTCACTAATAATAATTTTTATGTTCTATTTAACAGCCATAATACAATAATGGTTATCTGTTTCTGATATGGTGAATAAAACAGATATTTTGACATTATTGTAATATATGTTTTTATTTCAAATGGCGATGATAGTTCCAATATTGTTTGAAAATAATTACTAACATGGTCACATTTTCTAATAAGTATCTCTTATGAAATATAGAAAATATTAGTTTTTGTAAACTAATATTATCCACCTTTCTTCCATTTCTCTCCGGGAGTGTACTCAGTCATAGGCCTTCCAGATATTCCACAGGTACCGATACCTACTCTGCCAGTCAAGTTGTCTGGTGATGCAAATATACTTTTAGTACGAACACCTGGTTTTTTTGATGCTTTGGTATGGAAGTTTAGCCATTTATTCTTTTCAGTCTCTCTTTCTTCTTCAATTTGTTTAAATCTCTGTTGTTTCTTTTGTTTCTTCTTTTTCAAATATTCTCTATTGTAGCCTTTTCCATGTCTGAAAATAAATAGTATAGTATTGTAAATGTAAAATTTATCAAATATAATAAATAAATTCCTGTTTTAATTACAAATGGAGTCAATTTTGTGAACTAAATTTTACTTTGTTATTTTCCTCAAAACAAAAACACTGCTGAGTTACTTGTTTAGGATATCAATGAGTTTTAATTGCAAGAACTGGTTTTTTAAAAGTGACATTAATGTAATTTTTTGCCTACAAACAGTATTTTTTTAAACACAGATTTATCAGGTGTTCATTGAATATGATATGTGATAATTTACTCAGATAATTTGTGGAACTATTAATTTAGCTTTATATTAAGTTATTACATAGAAATTTGTAATTCCAAATATGTACACACGGCTGCAGGTAATACGAATACAGGTTGACTTTGAAAACATTGAAAGCACGAAAGAGATAAATAGTTTCTCTCGTTTCCGCTCTTATCGCACAAATATATGTGGCATAGTCAAATGGATAGAAACGAGATAGCATGTGCGGACTATTCAATGAGCGAGCGAAACACAAACATTTTGTTACAGCCGTAAATTTTGCAAAAGCAGTTGTACATTTTGTTACAGTAAAGTGAACCTAAAATATTAAGGAGATATATAGATATATGAACGTACGAAAGTCTTTTGTGTTCAGTGCGGTGCAACTCTATAGTTGTTTGTGCAACTCTATATAAATTAAAACTATTTTTAATTTCTTACGCTCTATTCTATTTAAAAATAAGTTTATTAAACAACAAATTATGCATTAAGTAATAGAATAAAATACGATTAGATTTAACGACGGTTTTTTTTTTTTACTCAAAAGCATATTTATTTAATTTATTCTTTATTGCCAAAAACTAAAGACAAAGGCGGAGCATTCTCTCCTAGTCAACCAGTAAGTTTGTACAAAACAATAGTAGGCGGTAAATTACTAATATTATAAAGAGAAAAGATTTGATTATTTGTTTGTATGCATTGAATAGGTTTCGAAATTACTAGACCGATTTTAAAAATACTTTTACTTATAGTATATTATACTTATTCGCTTTCAACATTTTAAGTTCTGCTTAAGTTATAAATATTACAAAATTATGTCAATGTTTGATCTTATAACAAGTGATTGAAAATCATATTTAAAAAGAAATATTAGTCATAATTAAAAATATTTAATATTAACACCGAACGTTAAAATCTCTAAACTTTTATAACCAATGTTGATAACTAAGATAAACAACTTTTATTAACTTTCTGTGATATATTTATGTTCATTAAATAAATATATTTTTTATTTTTACGACCCACCCACGACCTTTCGCAATTGCTCAGATTGCGAAAGTTCATGGGTTCGAATCCCATTTCAGAGTACCAGGGAATAAATGATTTTTTTTTATGCATTCTTCATTAAGAATATTGACGCTAAATACTAATTTCGAGAACAGCATTAGGTATTATCGTTTTATAACCAAGAGTAACAACGAAACTTGGAACCGGCGTCACTCAGCCACAGACCGTCATGCTGGGTTCCAGTGTCACGATCTCCTATTTGCGAGTGCTTTAGCTACTGTATTCCATAGGTAATAAAATAAATTATTTGATGAACTGATGATGAACGCTGAAAAAATTCCGACAATGAAACTATTTTTCATAGTATTGATAGTTCTTTTCTTCCATCTACGTCTGGCGAGTACATGGACCAATCGTATACAAAAATATATCATACTCATATATAAACTCGTGGATGAAATACACGCATTATTGAAAGCTTCAGACCCAAAATAGGAAGAGACTCAGAAATGCAGCGGCGATGAAGTAGTGGTTCAGAATACTGAAATAAAATAATCCATAACTTTTATGTCACATCTCAACGTTCAAAAACCTTCTACACCAATTCATATATCTGAATTATTATCAATCGAGTCACACAACCGTCATTATTTAGCTTGCCCATTTGCTAATGATAATAGTTGATGAATGATGTAATCTGTAAAAGTGTATAATGTAACTGGACCTTTTCGCAACGATAGAAAAATTACATGTCCTCCTTAATTTATAATAAAATATATACACATAAGAGGCATTGTAAAACCAAGGTAAAAAGGTAGATTTTGTGTTAGCCACAATCCTGCCAATTTTACTTGCTTTCGTTTGGTTATGAAATGACAGCATCACTTTTAATAATCACAAAATACGCTTTAACGACATAGCCTTAGCATTATAAGATATAATAGTTTATGTTACAGGTAGATAACTTATGAATATATAAAGCTTCTATATATATAAAAGCGAAAGGTCACTCACTTACTCATGAAGAAATCTCAGAAACTAGAAGTGCTAGGAGTTTCAAATTCTGCACGCTTTTTTGGACGTAGGTGCTCACTAAGAAATTCAACCCCTAAGGGGGTATATTAGGGGATGAAAATTTGTATGAAACTTGGTTACTACAAGTGCTACGAGTTAAAAATTTAGCATGCGGGTTCTTTTTAGGACGTAGGAAATTCACCACATTACAATTAGCATACAAGGAAATCCTGTAACGTTAACAGGGAAATCCTTCAGAGCGCGGATATAATATATACTAATCTTTACTATGATTAATGGAAAGAAATCCCTCCTTTGGACCTACTTGAGGATTGGCTTCTTGTTTTGCAATTAATAACCGCGCAAGTCGGCGCGTCGGTACAGGGCGCGCGTTCGTGAATGACTAAACATCGCGATCGCGTGGTGAAGTCATGATCTTGTACATTTGTCTAGGATAGTGGCTACACTGCCACGCCCACGAGGCCCTTCTAACGTCTCTCTGTGTTCTGTGAGTGCGATCACTGATTTTTTCATTTTATTTTTTTGTTTAATATTGTTTTGTTTTGTCATATAACTCATCTTAATAAATAGCTTACTGGCTAACGGATCCAAATCAGTTACCAGACCTCGACTTTTTTGTGGCCGGGGGAATTTCAGAACTGTATAATCTTCTATAATATAAAAATTAATCGCAAAATGTGTTGGTAAGCGCATAACTCAACAACGCCTGGACCAATTTGGCCAATTCTTTTTTTTAAATGTTCGTTGAAGTTCAAAGATGGTTTTTACGGCGAGAAAAATTTGAATATATGCCGAAAAAACCGTAAAAACAGCCATTTTCTTTTTCTCATACAAACGTTTTCTAACTAAATCGTTGAGTCAATTTGAGCTCTATTACTATTGTATAAAGTTCATATTAAATTACAAGCACTCACTGTTATCTAAGCAATGTAGGTATGTTCCTAACATCAAAGAGTCAATTTGCACTTTATTTCCGCTATACAAAGTTGAAATTCAATCATATCAATACAGTGTGCGTGTGTGCGTTGGAGCACAGAATACATCGTTGGAGGATTTAATGCCGCGTTCCGAAACTCAATTAAAGTAAATCATTAGTACTGATTTTCAATTTGGTCGGCTTTGCGATATTATTTCTTTTGTTTTACTTTCAGCACGCGACATAAAATGCATCAGTTTTCACGTCATGACATCAGTCAAACACAAACCGCGTTACCAAGTGTTTTATTATTTATTATTTACACACATAAAAAATTGGTACGGCCTGAAGGATTTCACTCCAAGTCATATCAAATTTAAAAAAAGTTGAAAATTGAAACAACAACAAACAGTCGATGTTTAGTTAGTTTAAAAAAAAACTAAAAGAAATGTCGATGTCAATTTGCCAGTGTGGAAGAATTATTTTCTTGGATTTTCTGTTACTTATTCTACTGAGTTTGCTTTTGTCAACTGATACTGTCTAATACACGAAACAAATTCGTATATCGTGTTTTGTGCAGAGTGTTTAGTTACCTATGATCACTATTTATTATAATAATAATATTGCATGTGACACAATAATTTATATTTGATGCCTCCTATTTTTTGCCCCGACTATAAAATAAGTAGGAACAAAAAACTGCCACATTACAAATCTTTTTGACAGGACGAAGTCTGTCGGGTCCGCTAGTTAATGAATAAATTAACGAAATGCTCTTTATTGTACACACCATAAGTAAATGAACAAACATAATAATGTAACAAAACAGGACAATAGGGAATATGCGTCTGATTCAAAAAAAGGTTAAATATATTTTATTATAATCGTTATTGCTTTAGGATAAAGTCTATCTGAATATTTTTCAATATTAGTTCGTTTTCGTCTTGAAAATAATTAAAAAAAGTGCAAAATAAATGCGGTAACTTCAAAATACTTAAATGCCATGCTACTTGTCAGAGCGGATGTGACGAAAATGTACACGTAGAGGGATGTCGTTGTTACAAAAAGTTGACATCGATGCAATAACATCAATGTATTATGAAAATGAAAAATGTTTATTTTATCATCTAGACAATATCATATACCTACATAAAGGTACTCCTTTTTAAGCAAATCTTTGCTTGTATTGGGAGATCCCAGTCTTCCATTAACATAGCACTGTGTTTGTATATGTGAGATTTTAACAATTTTATATTTATGTAATAACAAAAAGAGAACTTTTTAATTTTAGTGTATCTACTGCATATTTATTTGTAATTATATGCGCGCGCGCGGTGCGTGTGCCGATCGTATATTATATTGTATTATGTCGCAAAATAAACAACTGATTACAATTTCAATGATGTTTTAGGCTTTTATTTTTATTTCACCAACAGGGATGATGACTAATTTTTGTTTGTTTGTCCGTCAGGTAGAGTGTTAAAAAATATTATACACGTATTTTTTTATTTTTTTCGTAATCCTAAAATTACGGCGTTACATTGAGTTGAAATTTCGCATGACGTCACGTTAGAGTACGTTTTCTACTCAACTGTGACGTAGCGAGCCCCCACTCCTCAACTTTAATGCCTGTTATATAAGCTATTTCTTGTTAAATTGAAGTAAAAAAAAATACGTATCTAATATTTTTCTATTATCTGACTGACGGACTAAATAGAATTGCATTTTTTTTTACCCAGTCATCATCCCTATTAAGTAATTTATATGATTTATTAAAAAAAGTATTATACTTTAAAAAATTGATTAGTTTTTAATCGATTTAGGTATTGAATAATAATCTATCACTCAAAACCCATATTGATTTAAAATGTCATATCCCTAGTCGTGTACTTTGACGTCACGACGAGCGCGCCAAAAATTCCGGTGTTTAAACTGCTCGTAGCTATTACTTATTTTCATCAATTATTAGTGTTACAAAATTTTAGTTTTTTGGTGCCGGGTATTTTTTTACAGTTATATATCGATGTAAATTATCATATAAAACCATTTTCCAAAAATGTGCATATACCCTATTGGCGGCCTTATTGCTAAAAAGCTAAAGTAGAATCATCTTTGGATGGTTCTTCTGATCAAACCCATGTCACATGCACCATAAGTAATACAATTATTTACAAAGAACCACGAGAAAGCCACCGCAACTACAACCGCAAGATATTGGACTCAAGATTTCTTTTAAAACTGAAGATGAAGTTGAAGATAGATGCTGATTGCAGTCTCCCCAATTTGATTCAGACAGCTGCATGGTTGTCTCCTGCATATATTGAATCTTTTCCTCAAAACAAGAATTATGCTTTAGAGATCCTTATTAAAATAGCAAAAAAAAAAAACAGGTTGAGACGACAGTGGCAAACTAGTACAAATGTGAACGTTAGGCGACATTTTAACAAGACCCAAAAGAACTGAAGGATATGCTCAAAGAGAATAAAAATCGCACTCTACAAGATCGGCCCAAGTCGCTTTCGCAGTCCAAAACGGAGGACTACTCATTGAGAAAGATGAGAAAAACATTCAAAAGACTGAAGCAGCATGTACCGTCATTGAAACAACCAAATGGCGGATGGGCTACAAACTCAGAAGACAAAGCAAAATTATTTGTGAACATTATGGAGGAAGTATTTCAACCCAATGAACCTAATTCGTATTCAGAGGCTGACATTGATGACGTTATTACAAGCGACTTCCAAATGTCTTTGCCGTTGAAACTGGTCACGCCTAGAAAAGTATGGAAACATATCTATTATAAATCTAAAGCCAAAAAAGCACCTGGATTTGATTTGATCACTGCGGTATTAAAACAAATTTTAAAACAAGAAAAGGAATTGTCCTAATAAAAATATTATGTAATTCAATTGCAAGGTTCGATTGCAACATTTCCTTACTAATTTGGAAAGTAACGAAATGGAGAATAAAAGCCAGTGCTTCAAAATCCAATCACATTACCTTTACACTGACGAAACAGAACTGTCCCCCCATTACACTTGACGATATTGTCTTACCTCACAAAACAACAGTAAAAGTATTTGGGAATAAACTTGGATAGAAATCTGACTTGGTGATATCACATAAAAGCCGAAAGAGATCAAGATACTATAAAAATGAGAAAAATACATTGACTTATTGGAAGGCAAACAGTGCTCAGTCTGGAAAATAAACTCACCATCTACAAATCTATAATCAAACCTATTTGGACATACGAAATAGAACTGGGGCTCAGCATGTGATTCTAAGATCGAAATACTTCAGCAATTTCAGAATTCTGCTCTGAAAATTCTGTGCAATGTGCCATGGTTCATGAAAAACGTTGAAGTACATCAATTTTTGCAAATGCCCTATATTAAGGATGATATTAGGACATTGTGCGAGACATATTTTAAACGATTGAAGCGGCATAAAAATATATTTGCTATGGCACTCCTCATTACTGGTCATAACATAAAATGCCTTAAAAGAGACCAACTGCCCCCTGATTGTCTAATTTTAAATCTATTGCAATCACTTTCAGTTTGAAAGGTGTTGCACAACCATTGCTGCATAATACAAATACTTTTTTTCAACTGTCCTCAGAAACAAGCAATGGTTATACAACAACTTTCAAACCGAAAGATTTTAAAGTTAGACAATTAGGCCCCGGGTTGCAGAGTGACAGGATCTTTATGGTCTTTAATATTAAAGGGATGCCATATCATTGGATCTGTGGTCTCACAAAGTATGGAATACCAGCTAGTCTAATTATAACAGAGGCTGATTACAGATAGAAATAATAAACTTAAAATTAAATAATCTCTAACTTTTTAAGAATTGATTTAAGGTTTCATTGAAGTTTCAGTAAGGCACACAATAATGTGTAGTAATGAAGTGTTAGTAGTATTGACTTTGGTAGGTTTCAAAACAACCTAAAACTGATACAAAAAACAGATATGGAAAGTAATATTGAAAAGTTCATTTCTAAATAGATACCAACCAGTAATCAAGCTGAGACCTCAGAGATGGTAACACTCTAAAATTGCATGTGAGGCACTCTACCACTGAGTTCGATTCGAGTTTTGACTGCCTCTATATTTCAGTACAATTGTAGCACAGTCAGAGTGGCAACAATGCAGAATTATGCATTGCCATTTTGACAGCACTACTTTTTCAAAATTGTAAAAATAATGGACAGACGGACAAAACATAAACACAAACAAACTTAAATTAATGAAAAGGCGAAGCTTATTTCCGATGACTAGATGTGATGCGCTCTATTGGTTCTTAATTTCTAGTTACTGTTTATTGGCTAATTTTATAGGTTTCTTTCTTATTTATTTACTAAATTGTTGTTATGGATATGTATAATGGGTAGCTTTTTGTGGGTATAACTCAGTTTTGGAAAAAAATTGCTAAGATCAATTCAAGTATCAATATCAATGTTGTAACTGAAATTGACATTTGAATTGATTTATTGGGCCAATTATTTGGTGCAAAATTGACTGCTTAATCTACTAGGTAAATAAATTTTATGACTCACTTGCTTTCATCTCCACTTAAAGGTCGCTTTAAATTTGTATTTAAAGGTTTGATATCATGAACAGAAACTGTTTCTAATGTTGTATAGCCATCAAATTTCACTTTAAAGAATTCATCCCCAATTTCTTCAATGAGAGCTTCATAATACCTGCATTGATAATTCATTTTATAATACAAATAAATAGTTAATTATTATAAATTTGGTTAAAAATAGATTAATCTATATCCAAGAGACTTCAAAATATATATGAATTAATAAAAGGGGCAAAAAAATAAAATTACTAAAAATATACAAGAAATAATTATTAACAAAATAAAAAATAATTGAAATAAATTTTTTTTAATATAAATATTTATAAATAAATATTAAAAATAATCAATTAGCTAGACTTTTTGTTTAATTGATGACCAAGAAATGTAAATGAAAATTATAAATAAAAATTATTAATTAATAAATGAGAGATCAGAGACAGGACTTAAATCCGAATAAATATAAATACATTGCGTGGCTTGAAATACATACGCGCCATCAGATCTCCATTTAGCAAGGCACTTTTCACCGACGTGCCATTTGTAATAGTATGAAGACTCTCCCGTGTCACCATCCTCCGCTGCTAGCAGGGACGCTGTAACATCATCATCATTACTAGAACTATGAATATTAGACGCTCTGGATTCACCATCTTGTGTTTTTATTAAATCTTGTGTCAACTCAATTACTTCTTCTAAGTCCGTCTTAAGCTTCAGCAACTCTTCATTGTGTGGGTCTGTCAGCAGAGCTGCTTCCACCTAAAAATACCACGATAAAATAAGGTTTCCGAATACGAATGTGCTAAAATTTTCCACAACATTATATTGCTAATACCTGCTGCAGTTGTAATTTATAGTTTCTTAAATCTTCGGCCATGTCGATTAACTATTCTACGAGATAGTTAATCACGAAGTTATGATTGTAAATAAAAATATTTTTCTCAAGGTTTACGCCTGCAATAAAAAATAAAGAGCACAGCTCCACCATAGCACAAAATAATTGGCAAAGAGTAAATCACAAGAGCATTGTGTTCTTTGCACAGGAGTAAAAATATGAAGTAAAAATCAAAGAGTAAGGTAGCGTTGCGACTCGACTCCTGTTTTAACGTGAGTACAATGAGGGAGTATTTAAAAAAAAAACCAAAGCACAAAAAAAGCACCTCTACTAGATGGCGACTCTAGCAAAAGTTGATTTTTGCAGGAAATGAATGGACCAAAGACAGTCATTTCCATTCCTTTTATCTAACATATTAAAAAAAAAATTAAAAAGTTTGAAACTTAGACATCAATACAAATTCGAAAAAGTACAAATAGAATATGAGTTGTTTATTGAGTTTTGAAAACTAATTTACTTTTAAACATGAAAGAAAACCGGAAAAGTTGTCATGGAGAAATCAAGAACGTACCGTAGCGACATCTAGTTTGATATCGGGATATATATATTTTTTTTAAATACTTCCTCATTGAGTCGATTAAAGTCGTACTCAAGTGCACTTGATTTATCGTGTCAAATCGCATCAGATTAATTCTGTTGCCACTATTTGTCGTAAAGTGAGCTTCAATCAAGGGGTCCGTGATGATTGACAATCATATAGACGGCTGTTGCCATAGAGCTGTCGCAAACCAACTCGGATATGGTATTCGACGCCCTTGATCGAATGACGTAAGTACACATTACTATAGGTAGGTTTACCCCTCGGACGATTTATGGTCAATGCTGGTCGCTAATATTTTGAATTATTACTTATTCCGTCTTCGAATTCGGGTGGTCGTGTTTTGCTGATTGATAATCCTTCATTCTGATCGAGACCGGCATTAGTGTTCCTAAACTGATCCTTAAGAGCAATATAATAAATTATGAATAGGTTACCTAAAAGGCAAGATTTCCGTGAAAGTCGTTCTTTGTTTTTAATGTTTATGTTTAAATCATAAAAATTATTTATTTATATGCTTCTAGGAATAATTTTAGCGAAAGAACGTTAAGTGTGTAAGATGAAAAGAGCAAACTGATGATGTCTAAATGATTGTTTGTGTGTAAGCAAGAAAAAAGATTATTGTACCCTAGGTAAAGGACGTACGCAAATAAATTATTACGATCGGAACCTAGTTTTTCATATTAATTTAGAAAATTATAATTAGTGTTGCCGCGAATAGTGGTTTCACCGAATAACTGAATACCGCTGGTCTGTCTTGTATTTTATAGTGTCTCTCTGTCTCTATATTTCTTTATTATTGTTAATTTCCAATTGTTCATTAACAATTAGAAATGTCGATTTCTAAGATAAATATTACAAAGAAGTTTTCGCTTTTAGCTAAAGATGTTTCTTATTTAGTTATACGAAAGAATAATTCTTGATATTTGAGACGACTGATACGTAACGACATCTAACACAACAATCACCACCATTCAGTCACGAGATGGCGCTGTACATCTTTAATTAAGATACGGAAAGTCATTTATAACATCTATCTCGGAGGGAAACAATGATTACCTACGTATTTAAAAAATAGTTCCCGACATCAAACTAGATGTCGCTACGGTACGTTCTTGATTTCTGCATGACAACCCTTCCGGTTTTCTTTCATGTTTAAAAGGAAATTAGTTTTCAAAACTCAATAAACAACTCATATTTGTACTTTTTCGTATTTGTATTAATATTTAAGTTTAGAATTTTTCAAATTTCGTTTTTTTTTTAATATGTTAAAAGGAACGGAAATGACTGTGTTTGGTAATTTCTTTTCCTGCAAAAATGCAAAAATCAACTTTACTAGTCGCCAGCTAGTGGAGGATTTTTGGTGCTTTCGTTTTTTTTTAATACATTACCCTTTAGTCTTCCTTGCCAGCTGTCTCCATCATCCAGTAGGACCACACCTTCGCCATTATGGTTCCTTAATATTCATCAAGAAAACCGAAAAATCGATCGCATACAAATAGTGAAAAAGATGCGGAATATGCCGAATACCAAATACCGAACGAATATTCTCTATTTATAATAATTATGTTGGGAACTTGTTGGAAAAACGGTCCTTTTTTACAACATGTTCCTTTTTCTTTTGATTTAGTTTTTTATTATTGTATTTTTGTTTGTGATATATTTTTTAACTATATAGCTTTATGTAATTTTGTTCTTATTGTCAAAAATGTTAATGATTTGAATGAAAGAGAATCGTATTTTATCCATTGTTTTTCTTTGTTTCTGCGGAGCATTTTTTACTTTCTCGGCGGGAGTAGAATGAATATTTTATTGAAGAACGATAAAACTAAGACAAACGTCTTAGTTTTAGTAGTTTCTAGACATATTAATATCATTGTCGTCATACGAGTAATAATGGCGCCAATTCTGTTGTACCAACTGGACGTTACTTTAATTTAGGTTTGTTTTAACATTATTTTATAGCCACATCTAACCAAATAAGTAAATTTATGGATAATCCTTCCCGTATGCTACAATATTAATAATTCCGTTAGTTATATCTAAGTTAATTGTTTTTACTTTTGATAACGCAGTTGATACACGATGTACAGTTAACAGCACGTTAGGTTATACAAATATTTCAAAATTCACCACTTAGTTTAAACCCTAATGCTTTGGAGGTAGAGTTTAAAATCAATAGAGAATTTTACATATTGCGGTTACCGAGGTGCAGTCGCGTATACTTGGATCATACTTATTCTGCATTGGCCATTTATATGCCGTTAAACTGTTCCCTTAGGTATATTTCTCTTTTAACCGACAAAAAGCAGGAAGTTATTTTTGAATGAAATATTTTTATAGTTTGAAAGCTTGATGTGTAAAAAGTGGATAGGTCAATAAAAATTCTAGGTTATGCTCAAATATAACAATGAACATAATATCAATTAAAAATATATAATATATCAAACATTTATTTTGTAAAAAATACATTATTTTGTATGCTTAATTATAAATAAATAAGTATGTACATTATTAGATCAAATTGTGAGCTACTTAGGTTGCAAATGGTAAGAAACCTTAAAGTACATTCATCAAAACATTAGATTATCCCAAAATGACAAATTCCCATCAATTTAGAACTTAATTGTTATTAAATTGAGGCTTACAATTTATTATAGATGTTAAGTTTTGGATAACCTGATGTACTGTTGACTGTACTGACTTCAGTGGAATGATTACCTTTTAAATTACAAACTGTAATTATTAAACTGTAGGGTTAATCTTAGATTGAATTTGTAAAACAGTATGTAGATAGCGTCGTAAGCATCCTGTCAAAACATACTATGTAATTTTGGAAAATACCAAAACACCGACAATTTCTATACTTGGCCTGCGTATCGGACTGCGCATGCGAAATGAACTATTCAAAATTGAGTGCTTATTACTTTAGAAAGCCATATAAATTGTTAATGTCTATACAGTTCTGTAATAATTTATTTTAATGTAATGACACTGTCTCCTTAAGATGGCGTTAATGTCAATGGTTACGTTATCAAATAAGTTATTTAAAGAAAGAAATAATATAGATTTTATTCTGCACAGACAATTCTTCAGTAAATTAGAACTATACATATTCTCAAAATAAAACGTCCAAACTATCAAGATAGCGCAGACGCAGTATTCATTTACAATAATTTACCTAGCTGCATCATGTGTACTATAACCAGTCAACAGGAAGTCAGTATATATATAAATTGTAAATGTTTCTACTTCATTTAGAATTCTTATTTGTTGAAAGTTAATTTAAAAAATGCAGTAATACGATAATTTTATAACCTGATACGCTGTTGTGGGTACATGTAACCACTTACTTATTAGAAACATAGGTTTATGGTAATAAACCGTTCTGTTGTATACATGTTATCAAAATTTCATGGGTAACGCTATAGTTTAAAAAATTATGAGACCACTGGGAGCGGGAAATGGCGTAATTGAATTTCTCGTCTTAGTGTATTGGTTTTAAAAAAAAAATCGATTAATGTATTGATTAGTCCTATTTTCTGACGATCTATTTCCGTTACAATTTTACGAATTATAAGTATATTTATATTTCATTAACATTGGTATCCATTTTAACATAATAATAATATTTGCACGCCTGCCGGGAGCATACTATATCTTATCCGATTGTTTGTGATCTTAATGACTTGTATTCTGGCAAGTAAAGATCTTGTCTTATATAGGTACGTATTATAATAAAAAAAATCCAATATATGTCCATATATAAAAAGATAATTTATAAAAAATAGCTTTTAAATTAATACTTCTAAAAATATTTAATTTCATTGACTAGTTCATAAATGCGAAATATTGACAAAATTCAGTCACACCATAAAACAAATAAAGACTACCAACAATTTATTTGAGCGAGCATTAAAATATGTAGATACTAATGATATATCATAGAACAATGCAGACTTTATGCGATATTTTCTGAGTAAAATGATTCCGAAACAGCGCGATTCAATGTCTGTGCAGATTTTAATTAAGATTTATATTATTATAACTTTTCAAGGATCAAGAATAAGCTTTTTTTAAATGAAATATCAACATTATTTTATTTTTAAGCGTACACATGTTAAAATGAGATCCACGAAACAACGAGCCTCAGTTAAGTAGCTTTAGAAAATCGGTTTTTATTTCGACAGACCAGTTTGACAAGACTGAATTCTTAAAACTTCATTAATACTGTTTTTCATAATTCAAGTATTGATTATCTTTTATTGTGTATTCCTTTGAGTCACTCTATCTATGAAAAAAAAACGCATCAAAATCAGTTGCGTGGATTTAAAGATTTAAGCCTACATTGGGATATAGGGACAGAGAAAGCGACTTTTTTTATACTATGTAGTGATAACCTGTAAAGCTTAAAGTAGATGGCGCTAGATAGTGTGGCGGTGAGGTTAGCGGTTAATTTATTTGTTAAATAATAAAATAGTATATTTATATGTGAAAATAAATTAGTTATCCATGATAGTTAACTGTAAAATAAACTGACGTTTTATAACTTAGGTAATAAACATCTTTTCATAAAATCTAACTTTTGGCATCCATTTTTGCATATCTATTCACCACTGAAATTTTGTAATTGTTTGTCGGTTTAAATCTATATTAGCCCGACATTTTTCATCAAAATTACGTAATGTACACTAATCCACGACTATTCTTTTTTAATGGCGGCAATTTGTTGCCATTTGATAACCACACTAGCGCCACTAAGCGGGTGTAAATCGAACGTCGCTGTTATTAACAGACTGATAAAATTTTAATGCAATTTTAGATTTTAATTTATGCGATTTCGATTTTTGCCTAACAAACTCTGTCAAAGAGGTTCGTCGAATTAAAAATGCTTATTTAGACATCAGTAAACTTATTAAGTTTAAAATAGATATTATGTTTAATGTTAGCAGTAAATGTTCCATGTTATCTTTCACTATGCAATATTTATTTATTAATGTTGTCGGTTAGATGATCCAATTAGTAGAGAAATAATTGATCGATGTAGGCAATTGAATTAAATTAATTAACGTTCACGAGATGACTTTGTACAGTTGATTGATGGTAGCGGCGGCGTGACGCAAAGTCTTCATTTTCGTCGTTTAGCCTTTCTTGTTCCATAGATATATCAGCATGGACTGGTGTCACCACTAATTGCTCATACTCTAAAGGCCGCTTCCTGTATCATTGATAAATTCGCGCCATTATAATTTTGGGTTGTTAAATATCAATTTAATAGTAGATTGTTCTTAATAAATACAATGGAAATTTTCATTACATACCCGATAGCGTGTAAGAATGAGATCTTGAGCCATCGGAAGAAACGAAACTCGGCGGCGCGGCCGGGTTTGACGGCTGGATTGGCCGTACCTATATACAACCATAACAGCCAAAGTAACACCAAACATCCTATTGCGTAAGGCCATTTCACCAAGAACATCAGCAGTAATTTTACTGCCACCTGCGTAAACAATAATACACGGTCACGATATGTAAACGAAGGCTCTTTATGTTGGCTAATTAAGCTTTCAAATAAATCATAAAGAAATCATTGTAAAATATAAATATATGTTGCATTTCAACAGGGAATATTACGTATAGACAGTAGTACTAGTCCATGTAGTAAAAAAACCAATTTTTCTAACATACTTTCTTTTGGAAATGAATGATACCCTTCCTTCATACATTGAAAAGTTTGTATGTTTGTTTGTATCGAATAGGCTTCGAAACTACCAGACCGTTTTTGAAATTCTTTCAGCTACGGGATAACATAGGCTATAATTTACACGGTAGCGGGAAGCTACATAACAGCTAGTTAATGGATAAAATTACATTATTTCAAGCTGACAACGATAGTGACATAATGCAAAAAATGCGATTTTGAGTAATGAGCGTTTAAAGTTTAAGAAATTGTAATCCGCCCCTCTAAACAGCGTATCGTCACTACGCCAACTAGCAGTTTCTATGCAAACTTCGTTTACAGGGATCTTTGCATTTAAAAGTTATACCTAACAAAGAAAAATGTTGGCAAAAGTAAAAAATACGTCGTTTTTGGTTGTTTGTCATTGTCTACAAAAGATATTTGATATTTAATAAAAAAATACTACATGTGCTAGTGCTGTAATCTGGCAATAGAAAGTAGCAGCGATACGTCCTATTAAGGTCAAAAATTGAACGATATAACAATATTAGATATACAGAGATAGAGAGACAGATAGATAGACAAGAGAGAAAGAGAGAGAACGAAAATATATCAAATATATATTATATTTAAAAACTTACCCCAACTAAAGATAACCATCTATTGCAGAGTGGTGAGTACCAATTCTTATTCTTAGAATGAACGCTGACGCTGGGGCGAGGGTCGGATGGTGGTTCACCATTAGCCGTGCGACCGTTCATTATTGCAGGGTCCGTTGGGGATGGCGTAAAATCCTGTATGAATTTATATACAACCCTTAATAAATTCAATATCTTCATCATCAACCCTTTTACGTCCCCACTGCAGGGTCTCGAGCCTTCTTATTGGATGTTTCAGGAGGATGAGCCATGACCCTCCACACTGGTTAAATGCGGATAGGAGGGTATTAACGACTGCAACTGTAGCCGGGACCAACGGCTTAACGTGTTTTTCGAAGCATGGAGTAGCTCGAGATAGTATTTTTTTGGTCAATCATCCCGTGACCGACACTTGTGAAAGTTGCTTACCAACAAAGATCGCGAGTCCTGGTGCTTATCCACTACGCCACCGAACTACTCTTACCAATCATTATTTTTGCTATGTTACACAATAAAAAATTGCCCAAACAATGTCCAAATATTTAAGTGTCAGACTTGGGCAACTCCTAAGTTTAGTGAAAACGGGCATTAGTTGTGCAATAATTATTTTATAATGCTTGATTCTAGTAAGACTGGAGTTCACGGACTTTAAGATCAAAGTTAAAATTCATCTATTTGTACTGTTCTTGTCATGTCGTCGGTACTCTTAAAATTGTTAGTATTTTTATCGCTGCTACATTGAATCGTCAATATAGACCGTGCCATCTGAATACGGCAGAACTTCATACGCAACTGATTAACTTATTACCATTCCTACATTCGTTTTAAAAGATGGATAATCGATGTTTAACCGACAGTCGGTGAACTTCAGCCTTAATTTAAGATTATTTGATAACTTACGCCGACATTCTTATGACGAATTCTCTCTGGGAATAGTAGGTCTAGATCGCTTCCAGTAGCGCCATATACATGCGTATCACGTTGAGAATTTCCTTGGAATCTGCATTCATGTTAAAAAATATAATTATCATATAGTGAGAATCAATTTATTATGTTTTTAAACTAAACATATCACAGGTGGTACTAGTTCGCGACCCACCAGTGAGTCGCTAACGAATATTGAGTGGACCCCAATCGGCGATTTAGCCACTGTATAAGAGACTAGTACGCACTCGTAAATTATAACTTATGTCAACCCCGTATGATGTAGCTACTCATTGATGAAAGATTTTTTAAATCGGTCCAATAGTTTTGGAGTCTATCCGATACAAACAATCAAATCTCTTCATAATATTAGTATATATATTATAATTATGCCCTCTTTTTCTCTTACACCACTTAGAGATGGATCCCACGATTGGAACTTTTGTTGGATACGTCGCGTCGGAACCCAATCAGGTTTGGGAATCACTACAATAGATTAATATAAAAAAATTGTCTAATTTTAAAATTTATCGCAATTTCTTTCAATATGACGTGAAGATATTTACGAACTATTTGAAAGAGATTGCGAGCGCGGCTTTTTTTAAAGATCGTGAATCAACGGTATTATTAATGAGACGTTAATTGCAATTCTATATATAATTTTGAAAGCTATTTAGTATGCTGAAGACAGAATTTAATGGTAACTACAACCTCTCGACGGCGTTAACTAAGTTTTTATTATTATTCTTGATCATTGAAATCATAATTTGCTCCAAAAACGACTGCGACTTTAGACTGCGAAGTTACATCATTCAACAAATCGCTATATCTACGAAAGGGATTACGATAAATTTTGAAATCTGATAATTAGCGCACTGGTTTTTGATACGCACTGCCACTATGAAAGCTTTCAGATCTATTGTACCACAATAATTCTGAAAATACCAGAACAAATCTGTTATTTTTTCTGGAATTTTCTTATACGGGTATTAATAGCTTGATAAATGCAACATTCATAAAAAATAAATAAAAATATGCATTTCATTAGAAAAATAAACAAAAATCTTACCTCATCTCACGTTTATGTTGCAAATCAAATGTCTGTGCGAGCGCAAAATAAGAGTAATCTATACTAGCATAAGTGATAAGGAAGGGCATTGTGACGATGGGTGCGAGCTGGTTGATGCCTCCTATGATGATGAATGTGGTTGTTACTATAGCTACTACTACCATTGAATATATCGGTACTTTGTTGGGGCCTCTCTGGAAAATAAACAAGTGGTACAGTCAAAAGGACGTTATACGAAACTTTAGTCATATTGATTTCTTACTCTATCTCATTCGTCATAAAGAACAATACTAGAGAGCTATTTTTTCTTACTGATGTGTTCTTTATTATAACATACAATAACAGAAGTTAGAATTGTAGTTACAATAATTGAATATATATATAAATGAATCCCTATCTCTTGGTCACCTGAATGAAAGAAATAATGAGAATATTGTGTGGAAAATTTACGAATATTTAACCACAATATAAAATTATTTTTGATCTAACCTTAGTGCTTTGGTAATACAAACTTTATCAATGTATGATGTTTGACACAGAATCAACAGAATGCGTGCTGCAAATATTGTCAAATAAAACTAAGAATGTTGTAAAGCATTAGATTAATAATCATTTTTTTATTTGAAATATTTGTTATTAATTATACCAATTCGAATTCAATATAAATAATTAAAACAGTACAACGTCTGTCGGGGCAGCTAGTAAATAAATACAAAATTCTAAGACTGAGCAAAGTTAAGTGTGACTAATGATTCATTTAAAATTATCGTCTCGTAAGTATTGGCAATGTAGAAGACACCTTTTACAATATTGGTGTGATGCTAACTAACAAATGCATTATGAATTATTTAATATATTTGCCGATTAATATGGAAAACATGGTTTTTGTTTCATGGGAAAACATTGGGAAAGAAAACCAAAACATAAGAATAAGCTATGTATAAAGATGAGAATTACCAAATTATTAACTAACAGACAAACAGTAATAATAATTTGAGATGCGCCGAATATTTGTTTGATATTCGGCATCTTTTTCACTATTTGTTTTTTTGCCGAATTATTCGGTTCGAGTATTTCTATTTTCTTGGCTACACATTATGGTTTATAACTAAAAGTCAAAGTTTCTTATGTAAGATTTATGTTATTATAAGTCAAAGAAATTCTATCAAGAATGTTTTCAATAAATCTAATAAAATAAGGCGCTCAAACTTTTAATGAATATTTACTTTTAAAAGCGGAAAATCAATGAAATAGTAAGCCAAATAATTCGGCCGAATATTCGGTTCGGTAACGGTTATCCGAACAGTATTCGGTGTTCGGTTATTAGGCGCATCTCTAATGATAATTAATTCGCTAGCTTAAGAGTTTTTGTGACTTTATAGTTTACACAATTTACAAACAACACTTACACCATGTCCAAGAATAGCAAGTCCAGGTATAACTTTTTCGTTGGCTATACTCTGTAATACCCTTGGCGTCCCATACATGGCGCCAAGACAAGAGCTCATTGAGCTTACATATAGGCCCGCTAGAAGGAGTACTCTCACAGCCGATATATCCGCTGTTATCGAGAAAGTGTTCAACAAAGCGTCTCGGGTAACAGTCGCAGCTAATGTGATAACGAACATCAGATACAGGAAAGTTCTGTAAAAATATCACGTTACTTTCTAATATTAAATCAAACTGTCAAGTTTAGAAGATTAATTAGACTGAACTATAGATATATAATAGGTACTTTATATTACGAAAAAATATATAAAAACACAAAGCAAGTTTATCACAAACAAGAATCTTAAATTTGCCTTTAATACTATTCAGATCATTTGTATTCAATTATCTGGATTTGAGATTGTTGTAAATACGATAGCATGTTAAATCATAGGCAAACATAATTAACTTTTCATTGTGGCGACGATAGTATATGTATAGATGTCGCCACATAATCAAGAATTGATAAAAAAAACTACTTACCCTGTACCAATAGCAGCTAGAGAGCCATTGGGAATATTTACAGAGGGATTTTTTAGGTCTCCGCTCATATTGATTCCAGCCAGTATACCAGTTATAGTGGGGAAGAAAACTCCAAAGCATTTGAACCAAGAGTATCCTTCTTCATAATTAGACCATGTATTATTTGTGATTGTACTATTGAACCAACCTTGGAATTCTTTGGCTGCAGCAAAAATAAGATATTTAAAATAAGAGGTAATAAGAAATATATACTTACAAAATCGATAATTAAAAATATGGTAAAACCTTTTAAAAAGTTGAATATTTCATTTAATAAAACAACTACCTGTAAATTTATGGTAAATGTAATATTTCAAAAAACACATGTAAGAAACTTTATTATGTGTTTACTTACTTGGTGTGGTTGTAAAAGATCCCACAAAGAAGTCGAGAGCTGCTAATAAAATGACTAACAAAAGTGCAAACTGTAACTTTACAACCCATTTCACTCCAGCAACATTGATTGTTCCAAGTAATAACACAGCAGCAATTGCAAATCCTTTGGCAGCCCATGCATTATCTAATCCTACTAAGTTAGCCATAGACTCTCCAAATCCCACAACATTTAGTGCACATCCTACAGCCTGTAATAGTAAAATGAAAATTCTGAATATTAAAGTTGTAGTCTATGTGCTTTCCCAGGCCTCGACTTATAAATAATAATAATATTTTAAAAGTGAGGAATTCATAGCCATTTGTTTAAATTTAAGATCTAAATTAATTTAAATATTTCTGTACAAAATTAGTAAATTACTACAAGTATAATTTTTTTGTTTATGCTAACATTTTACTTTATGCCGATAGATTATATTATGTATATACCAACCAAGTAGTAGCAAAAAGTTTAATTCAAAGGTTACAATTTTTTTACTTCATTCTCTATGAAAGATGCAGAAATATAGTTTGCGAGTAGTGATTGTTCAATTTTTTTTGTGGCATTTATCAATCAATAATATGTATGTAATATCACATTAAATTCAACTGATTAATTTTTTTACCCGTAATAGAGATAAAAAACGTCATTATCACTGAAATCTCATATAATATTACTCATTTGTGATAACATATTTTATCTGTTTCTTTGTGTTCACACATTTGCATACACAGGTGTCTATAATAACTATATTTACAGATGCCTTTACATATTATTTTACTGAGTTATAAAGCTTTAGAGAAATGGTTGTATCTTACAAGTAAACTAAACAAGTAAAGTAAAGGTTTCTGTTATATGTTCGGAAAATATGAACAATTTATATATTTAACAAAATAAATTTTATGGCACTAATTTGGAAATATTATGATTTGAAAACTTAAAAATGTATGGAAAATATATTACCAAAATTTGCTAAAATAGATAGGGCATTAAGTAAGTTACATATAGTGTAACAATTTTCATTGTAACAGCTATAAACATAAACACAAAAATAACAAAGATATTACAAAGATTGCCCAGACACCCATACATTTTTCACTACTGAAGCACTGTGTAACATCACATAGTGCTCTGAATTTGTAGGGAGTGTTTTCAGACGACTAACAGCAGTTACAAAAACATAGCATTGTATATCTGAAACTATTAATCGCAGACATGCTGTTACTTCTACATTATTTTTCAGATATTAATGACTATTTATTTATAAAATAAAGAAGCTGTCAACTAATTTATACTTCAAAAAAGAATATCAATGATTAACTGGAATTATTAGCACATTTAAGAGCAAGCGCAAGAGCAAATAAAGGAGTTACAATAACAACTTATAATTAAAATTTTGAACTATGTCACAGGCTATCAGTGGTTGGCATCACAAATAAATGTTTTAATTTATAATGACATTATTAACTAGTAGACAAAGATGATGACGAGGATTACATGTATGTTTTAAATATTTAGAGTTCTTAGTAAACTCAACTTTTTTATTTTTAATACCTGTCCAAAGCAATATATGATTCCCAAGGCTCCACCCATTCTTGATCCAAGAGTGTGAGCTAGCAGAAAATATACTCCTCCACTTTCTATTCTGCATCGGTCACATATGCCTACTGCAGATAGTACAGAGATCAAGGCAATAAACACTGAAATAGAAAATATATATAAAAATAACACAAGAAAGAAAATCCTAAAGTATTACCATTATTAAATTTACTAGAGGGTTAGTAGTGTTTAGAGTTTTAATTAATAAATGAAATAGTTTTGTAAAAGATTCTGTAAAAGATAGAGTCTAGTGCTAAATAAATCTTAAACCTCATAAACATTTTAAAAACTTATACACATTAAGACCTTTCAAAATTTATACATTAATTTTGAACTTATATTATATTAAGACTTAAAATCAGTTGAACAGATTTTATCTATGGCATACAAATAATAGTAAAATGTTTATATGTATACTGACCTGTAAACAATACAATAAATACTGCATTAACAAGGCCAGCTTGACCCACAATCCAACCAGACCTTAAAAAGACTATTACCCCAAAAATATTTATAAGACATGATGTAAACACTCCATCCCATGTACCAAAAAGTACTGGTTGTGATATGAAAAAATTAGATTTCCACCATGGAATGTCACCCTGAAAGCATTTAAATATATTGTTTTAATTATGTTTACATTACACATTATTTATTTAATAACATGATTACTTCTAATCTAAAACACCCGTTATATTTTTTTTTTAATGTTAATTTCAGAAACAATCAATTGAGTGTTACAACAGTTTAGTTTGAACCTGAATATCCGCAAATATTTCGTTGGCTCCAGAGGCTTGGTGTCCACCTGTTCCATATTGTGATTCATTTCCAAGATCTACAAAGCCGCCAGACTGTCTTCTCATACGAGCTCTGTCAAACCCTGGTTCATCACTTCTAAAACTGTCTATGTCTAAATCATTTCTTCTCGTCCGATTACTTTGATCCATATTAACTATAATTTTATTCAATTATCACTTAAATATACACATACTCTTAACAAATTAGTATTTAGATTTCACATTTCACAAAAGTCCATCACCGTGTCACGATAATAATGTCCACAGATTAAGAATATGTAGCTAGCTACAGATGCGACAGTGACTTTAGAGAGTAGTTTTCCCTGGTCCAGTTTTGGCGCTGCGATCGTTTTATATGACAGCAGAGTTTGACAGCGGGGTGAAGGTCAAATAATGCTTGCTAGTCGAAATTAGTTATCGACTTTATCGATATATTAGGGATGTCAATTCTTATCGATAAAACGTATAAAACGTAGGTGGCACATTTTCAATCGTTTAAAATATTATAAATAAAACAATTAATCGTTATTAATTATTTATTTAAAACTTTCTTTCTTAGCCTAAAGCTTTTGTACTTTAATAAGGCGAGTTTCTGCGGTTCTTCCATTTTTAACACATATTTTTCTTGAAGAGCACCTTTTAAAATCTTATTTATTATATTGCACCAATTATAGGTGTGCAGTCTTATAACATTTTTTATAAATACTTCACCTAAAATCGAGTTATGTCTGTTACATCCCAACCAGGAGACGTTTATATTCCTCTTCAATTTATATTTTAAAGTTTTGCATAAAGAATCTTTATGACAATTTTTATTCAAAAAGTCGTGGATAAATTGACTGCTGTCTCTATATAAAATTAGAAACTTTTCTGTTGGATAAGCTAAATTATTGTTTTTTAAAGATTTGTACTCCCTGTGCTTAATATAAATGTGAATTTTTTCTATGGAGTTAGTTGTAAATGTTTTTGTACAATTTTTACATTTAACTGCCTTTGATAAATTTCGGCAAATGTATCCTGCAGTGTATGCCGAACATTGGACCTTCACTTTCTCCATAATAACATCATCCCTAGATATAGATCCACACGATTGAAGGGGTTCTTCTTGTGAAGTGGATGGCTGTATACTAATGTTAGGATATTGGTTTTCTTTATTTATTTCTTCATCAAATAAAAAACTAGCATCTATCAATGTATGCCCTACATCCATTTCACAGTTGGCAAATTTTGAGTGAGGGACTAATAAATTTGTTAAAACTAACGATTTATACGCGTATACAAATGTGTTTGCATCAGGGTTAACATTTCTATAATTGATAGCCCTTACCCGCCCAAAAAAGTTTTCCAATGGATCCTGATTGATATTTCTAGGATAATAATAATCAATTGAATATTTTTCAAATAATAATTTGGAAATTCTTATAAAACTTTCTAGGGTCGTAACCCATCCCTCTAATGAGGGCACAGACACAAATCGTGATTTGCCAGTTTGAATTACAATTTTACTATTGCTATCGACAAATTTCATCATTTTAATTTTATTTATGGCATCAGCCCAAAATGTAAAGTGTTCCGAAGTTTTCTTTACAGCCTTTCTTAATTTACCCCTTACAGTTCCACCTGGATAACCATTGACGCTGTCAAATAAAGTGTCAAAAAATTCGACAACTTCTGCTGTAGTAGCCATTGTGCTGCTTCCATTTCCAGTATGAAAATAATCTGAAAATAAAATCGAAATAAACTATTACAGCTTTCCTTTGGTTTTTTTTACAAATTAGTAGTTTATTTTAATTACAAAATCCATTTAAGATAATTTATTTTATTTTGTAAGAGGTAAATAATTTTGTATGCCTCTTGTTTTTAACTTTTATAAAATTTACAATATTTCTTGAAAACATTTAGTTCTAAATTCTCATAGTTGTAGATTAAGCTTATTTATTAGTATTAGTAAAAAACTTACTAAGTGCATTGGTGTATTTCAGCATAGCAGCAGTTCGAGTACTTAACACTTGTGCTGCTATGCTAACCTTCATTTTCTTAATTCTTTTGGCATCAACATGGTGAACTGTTAATTTTGGCATAGCTCTTGTATGGCCTAATTTACTATCCAAATCAAAAATAAACTCTATGTCTTTCCATGTGGCTGTCTTTCCATTCCAGATAATATCTTTATTTAAAAAATTATTCCTTAATCCTTTCAGCAGGTGAGGTGGGTCAAAAAATACATTTAGGTCATGTCCAGCAACATGGATTGTACCATCTGTAAAAAAACAATGTTTACTGTTAATTGCTAACGGTTGGCATTATAGAAGGAAATTAGCATCAAAGGAGTGATCATAAGTAAAACAAATGTGAGCAGATATTTTTTATAGTATACTAACCATCTTTTATATTTTGAAGATTGCGAAAACGTAACGTATCCTCCCTTAAAGTTTTAATAGTTGTTCGAAAAGTTGATCCTTGATCACATACAAGTCCCAGTGGAATTAGCCCAGTTTGTGCTACTTGGGAAACTAACTGTTTTAAAATTGTCTGTAATGCAGCAGCTGATATTGTTCCTTCACAGAAATAATAAGCGACAGTCTGTCGCCATGAAGAACAAACTCCCCTCAGCATGAAAACCAATGCATGGTCACAAAACCTCATTTTTCTGTTTTCTGCAAAATCAACAAATCCAAGGATTTTATCATTTTTTGAATTATAGTTCAAATGTGGTGTCAAAGCCATTTCGTCAAATACAATTGTGCATAGTTTTTCTTTAATGTGCCAATTTTGTGTTTTATTTTCAATAAATTGAAAAATTTTCGTATTGAGTCCTGGTTCCAGAGAGAGTTTTTCAGACACTCTGTTCAATGTCCTCTTGTTTGGCAAGGCAAGCATATTTTCCAACAGTCTATATGTTTTTGGACTTTGTTTGAACAACACTAGAGCTCTCAACTTTTCATCAAGTGTGTATCTTCTTGCCATTTTATTACGTCTGCATTCCCTTAACTGCATCAGTAAGAGCGACTGTGCATGTTTGTTTAAAAGATGAAAATTTTTAAAAAGCCTCTCATTATTGGCCAGAGATTGAGCCATTTCTATTCGTTGTGAGGCTGTGCTACCCAAACTGTCAGCAGCAATGTTTTTCACATATTTGAAAAATCTTCTTTTTTTTGAACCCATATTTCTGCAACCTATAATAAAAAGGTCCTTGGTTTAATATTTTGAAAGAATTTGTAATTTATTCCTTATTTTATAGTATGATAAAGTTATCAAGTGGTTAATATTTTCTAAGAAATACAAAAGGAAACTTTTGTTTCTGTGTAGCTCTTTTGATGTGGTAACTCTAATAGTTAACTTACATTAGCTGCATGTTCATTTTATATAGAACATAATCTTTTAAAATGCAGGAAAATTAAACAAGCATACTGTCAAATATATAAAAACAATACCTTTTTGTGTCTTCGTGAGGCAGCTTTCATGTGGTACCTCTAACAGGCTCTTTACGTTAGTGTTAAATGAGCATGATGGCTGCTCTAATTGATCTGAAAAATAATATTGATACACTAACAAATAGAAACAAAATTATTTGGTGCAGTTATATTATAGTTACTATAATATAATTAATATAATGCTTTATTTTTGAAAGGACAACACTATTTTATTGTATTCTGTATAGTCACAAGATGTGGGTATATATGAGGAGGTATATATGGAGTTATATAAAATAAGAGGCATGCTATTAAATATCAACTAAATTAATCTGTTATTACTTTTAAAGATGTAAAAGACAATACCTTTTTGTGTTTCTTTGAGGCAGCTTTCATGTGGTATCTCTAATGGTTTATTTACATTAGTGGTAAATGAACACGATGGTTGCACTACTTCATCTGAAAAGGAATAAATACAAACATAATAGTATTAATAACAATATATTCTTTACTGCACCCTACACAGCACACAATACACAAAAAGAATCAAGAAAATAAATTATTCAATGGACTGCCTTATTGCTATGTAGCAATAAGTCAAGCAACCCATCACAAAAAATAATTAAATAAAGAACAGGGTAGTGGATGCAAGATAACAATAATAAATCGATATATCTGAATTAATAAAGAAAATAAAAATAAACACATTAATTAAACATTATAATATTAAGAGTTTCAAGACAGGGATAGCTTCCTATCCCTGTCTTGAAACTCTCTATCCCTGTCAAGACAGGGATAGAGAGTTTAAGAGACAAGTCTCTTAAACATGAGCAGTGAAGCCATGCAAAGTATATTTAAATAAATAAAATTAACATAATTAAATACATATAACTAGCAATATATAACAAATCATTCTTTCAAATCTAAAATACTCCAGTCCATATACCTCTCAATTCTGTGCTTGCTGGAATCTCTTGAGAGCATACATATGACAGATGTTCATGGAAACCACCTAAAAATTGTTTATAGATTTCAGTTAATAAAAATTTACTATAAAACAAACAAATTCATTTTGTAAAATTTACTATTTCTTAAAATGGCTTTATAATTTTGAAAAATCTAACCCAGCATCAATGAATTCACCAGTTGACTATAGCTGAAGCTGCTGGATTATAAAAATTTGCAGTGGCAAGTTCCTTCATAGTAGTTTTTTAAAATAGGTCAATAATTTAATTTTGTAGAACTCTCATATTAAAGTTTTACTCGGGTCATTGTAGCCAGACTACCAATGTGGTAATTTTAGATATCATTGGTGCTAAGTTAATAAGAATGTAATGACAGGAATGATACAAAATGAAAATACACTTAACAGATTTAATAATTATAAAACTAGTGAAAAACTATATACCTGCTCTTTCAATTACCAACGAGGCATCTGAGATATCATCCTCATCGTCTAAACTTTTGAAATAATCGTGTTCATTCAAAACATTTGACCCTAAAACATAATATTTTATTATTAGTTACTCATGCCTAGACCACAGCATAAATCGAAAAATGGCACCATTCAATTAAAGGGCCACTCAATTGGTTGACCGATTATACCACTTAGCTGCGACTTAGACAATATTTCTAAAGAAATTCAGTGACAAACACACAAGTAATTACAACAAAAAGTCTCAGTTTTCTTCTGTCAATACACACTGGATATTAGGCATTAGCTGTTAGGTTAATGCTGAAAATAGCTGTGATTATGCCATTTATAATAAGGTATGCAGTGTGTGTTACTTTTAGGCTCTATTACACAAAGTATGCCACCGACAGTCCGCGTCTGTGTTGGCAAATACAACACTTCAATGTACTTGTAGCAAAATTATA